TTCCTTTATGGTTTATCTGAGTGCTGGTATTTCCTCCAGGCCACTCCTACGGCCTGTGATTGTAAACATGAAATTAAATCTCCTTCCATGCCACAATGACAGCCGCAGTGGTCCAGCAGCTAAACGCTCGACTGCGGTTCTGAAGGTCGGGAGTTCGGGTCCTGAAAGGAACTAGATTTTTTTCCAAAAATTATATTGGCTCCCATATCGACCCAGCTTTGCGTGGGTACCAGAAGAAGAAAAAGAAGAAGACAAAGACGAAGACTGACACGAAGAAGAAGAAGAAGAAGAAGAAGGGTACCAGGTACAGTCCTGGGAAGTAAAGTCGGCCGGCGTGATGCTGACCACATCACCTACAAAGTGCCGTTTGGTCTGTAAAATATAGGGCTAGCCCTATGTACCCATTACGCCTAAAGCCGTGGAAAAGGGTCCTTTCCTTTACTTATACCACAATGAATAACGGATATATGGTTTCGTCTTCTATTGTAGTTGAGGCAGCGCACCGAATGGAGAAAGTGGCCAATATGGCACTGTCCGTCTTCACTTTCGAGACATTTTCTTCTGACCTATTATTTTCTTCTGACCTATTTTAAACTGACCGGTTAGTTGTATATCCTTTACAGGACGTTGCAGAACCAACCCTAACAGACCCTGGCTGGTGTGTGGTTTTTCTAGGCAAATTTACGTCCAGTAGTTTGCCATTGCTTCCTGGACGGTCGGCTTTCTTGATACCACTGTCGAAACCAACGCAAGGCTCATGGCTGGGATCGAACCCGGCATTCCGGCATTACGAAACGTTCGCATCGACTTAGCCACAGAGCCGACTTTAGACTGACCAATGTAAGAAAAAATATCGTCCCTTCCCCTGCACTTGTGACGTTTCATTTACCCTCCAGCACTCCTCTCTGTTTGCTGAGAAAGGAAAGGGGAAGGAGAACTCTGCAGCAGAATTACCATGGGGATCACACTGACAATGGATATTGGATCCTGGTCCCATATGGAGAGGAGGGGCGCGAGAGAATATGCTCATTGCCCTCTAATAAGCATGTCGTATAAGTCGATTAATTAGGGGTGCTTCCTTCAAAATTGGACTGCATATGCTTAAGACGAGAAACTAACAGTTTGCATACACATAAGCCAAATGTGTAAAACGGGTGTGCATGCAAAACTAAAGTTCTGGAACAAGGCTACAGTTTGGATGAACAACCAGAAAGGTGAAGGCGAAGGAGAAAAATAATAATGGCAATGCTCAATGTTGGACTGATAAGGACCTATAAACTTACGGTCTTTTAGCGAGTTGCAGGCAAACTGAACAACCAACCACTTAAACAACAACTATTCAACCAACTAACAAACCAGCTAACAAACCAAGCAACCAACTAACCACATTAACAAATCTACCACACGACCCAACAACGTAACTAACCATAGACACTAAAGAATCTACCACACGACCCAACAACGTAACTAACCATAGACACTAAAGAATCTACCACACGACCCAACAACGTAACTAACCATAGACACTAAAGAATCTACCACACGACCCAACAACGTAACTAACCAACCAATCTGACACATGATCAGACCAACTAACTTATCACCTAACTAACCACTAACTAACCAATCTACCACAAGATCCAACAAACTAACTAACTAACCCACCACAAAACAAATAGTTCACGAACCAACATAATAACCAACAAATGAACTTGTTAACCATATTTGACTGCCAACCCCCTTAACGTTTTTTTTCTTTCTCTTAATTTGGCTAGACTGCCCCCTCCCCCCCCCCACCCCACACTATCCAATTTCTTTTCCTTCTCCTGATCCTGCGACAGTGGTGCCTGAAGCTCTGACATCAATGTTTAATCAGATAACACAGATGTCTGTAGCCAACCCATCAAGTAGCAAACTGCAGAAAACTTCTTTAACCTCTCAGGTCGTTCACATTAAGGCACCCGTGATGGCCACACCAAGTACAATCATGGTGTCGCCTGTTCAACCTTAGGAAATGCTTGCAACAGGGGAATTTGCAGTTACATTCACCACTACCGCGGTGGACCCTGCTAGGTGAAGTGGGTGAATATGTGTACATAATGCTCAACAAGACTTTCTGAACATCTCATCAGAGTTCTATAAACAGCCATACAGATTTATGATAGCAGTATGGTAAATGCTGAGTAAAGTAATGCACTGTAAAGTAATGCAGTGTAAAGTAATACAGTGTAAAGTAATGCTGTGTAAAGCAATGCTGTGTAAAGCAATGCAGTGTAAAGTAATGCTGTGTAAAGTAATGCTGTGTAAAGCAATGATGTGTAAAGTAATGCTGTGTAAAGTAATGCAGTGTAAACTAAAGCTGTGTAAAGTAATCCTGTGTAAATTAATGATGTGTAAAGTAATGATGTGTAAAGTAATGTTGTGTAAAGTAATGCTGTGTAAATTAATGCTGTGTAAAGTAATGCAGTGTAAAGCAATAACATGTAAAGTAATGCAGTGTAAAGCAATGCTGCGTAAAGTAATGTTGTGTAAAGTAATGATGTGTAAAGCAATGCAGTGTAAAACAATGACATGTAAAGTAATGCAGTGCAGTGTAAAGCAATGCTGTGTAAAGCAATGACATGTTAAGTAATGCAGTGTAAGGCAATGCTGTGTAAAGCAATGACATGTAAAGTAATGCAGTGTAAAGTAATGCAGTTTAAAAGATTGCAGTGTAAAGTAATGCAGTGTAAAGTAATGCAGTGTAAAGTAATGATATGCAAAGTAATGCAGTGTAAAGTAATGCAGTGCAAAGTAATGTAGTGTAAAGTAATGCAATGTAAAATAATGCATTGTAAAGTAATGTAGTGTAAAGTAATGCAGTGTTAAGTAATGACATGTAAAGTAATGCAGTGTTAAGTAATGACATGTAAAGTAATGCAGTGTAAAGTAATGACATGTAAAGTAATGCAGTGTAAAGTAATGCAGTGCAAAGTAATGCAGTGTAAAGAAATGCAGTGTGAAGTAATGCAGTGTAAAGCAATACCATGTAAAGTAATGCTGTGTAAAGTAATGCAGTGTAAAGTAATGCAGTGCAAAGTAATGCAGTGTAAAGTAATGCAGTGTGAAGTAATGCAGTGTAAAGCAATATCATGTTAAGTAATGCTGTGTAAAGTAATGTTATGTAAAGCAATGTCATGTAAAGTAATGCAGTTTAAAGTAATGCAGTAAATTATTGCAGTAAAGTAATACAATGACTTTATTTGTTCGTTCTGGTGATATTTATTACTTTCAACGAAACTAATTCTGGCAAAACAATATATTTTCAACATGAAAGTTTCTGCAGACAATAATACAAGCAAGGTGACATTTGGCAGATGGTTTGACTATTCTATTTTATATCCATAGGGGCCTGCCTGTCTGTTTTCTCCCTTTTTTTTCCTACCAACAGGAGTCTGTCTATTTTTTACCCAATGAAGTCTGCCTGTCTATTTTCTACCCAAAGAAGTCTGCCTGTCTGTTTTCTACCCACAGGAGTCTGCCTGTCTGTTTTCTACCTAGATGAATCTGCCCGTCTGTCTTCTTCCTCCGGGTTACTACCTAAAGGTGTGACACACCAGAGACTCAAAAGTTGCATACTGGATGTTAACCCACCAAATATATCTCAGATATCCGGTTGATACTCCTAAGAATAAGATACTCCCAATAACGGCTGCTTGAAGTACTATCACAGTACACAAGTAAACAATGGTTCTTTTCTGTTTAGCGACCACATCACGCGAGATTTAGGGACATCCCATATAATTAGGGATTAGGGTTAGTAGTAGTCGCCATTTATTTAACACTAACCCTAATCCGAACACCCCCCCCCCCACCCCTCCTTCCTTCCAAATCGCCTATAATATGGGATGTCTCTAAATCTCGCATGTTGAGGTCGCTAAACAGAAAGGAACCATACTTGTTGTCCCAAGAAGGTAACAACTGTGTCGACGCGTGGAGAAAGTAATACCAACATATGTTGGCTAGTCACAATGTGGAGAATGAAATGTATACTTACTCTGTCCAATGTTCATGCAAGGTAATATTAATAATAACAACAATGTGGAATATAACAAATAACACTTCCTCTGTATAATACACATTATGATTCACTACTGTACACATTATATAACACACATGGAGTTCAATGTTGTCATGATAGCTTCTGGAAATGACCAGGATGGTATAGGCAGCCGTGTTGGTAGCGGCTTTCAGCTGCATTCCGAGTGGTGACCTAACAATGTAGACACATCGTCTGCTTCCGAATCAGACGGGAGTTTAAGAACTGGGCAACAATCATTTGTCCACAGGAGATCACAGCGAAACACAGCCTAGCCTGTGAAACTCAAAAGCGGCAGGAACGAGGAGACGTAATGCCCCTGTTTTAGATACATACTCCAAATGGACACAAGCTAGATCATCCTTTGCCAGCGATGAATGTGTGCCTGGCGTTAGATTTACTGAAGAACTTCAACTTGATTATGTAGGCTTGCTAAGTACTTACTGCCGTTTGTATACAAGTTATCATGCACGTTGAACGCCCGAATGTACTGTATAGAAGATGAATACAGGGTTGTTTATGGATCAGTCAAACTAGTTCGGTCTAAGTTCGAATAACTCAGGTGGGGTCACGAATGACCACTCCGTGAGTACATTTGTAGACACTGGTTAGTTAGTTGACAAGGGCATATGACTCAGTTCTCACGTTAGACAGGCGAGTTTTACAATCATTAGCCGTTGTTTGGATTCACGTGATCAGATGAAAGTAGACGACTGAAGGTAGCGTGTAGCAGGCAAATGTAAGTAGTGGTTTTAATTTATTCCCGATACAACGGACGTCAACATGCAGTAGATGAGTAGCAACCGTATCAGGTGAATGGGTGAAGTTATAGCTTGTTATTTGACGGTGGATATACCAGTAATCTAACGATACATGTAGCTATACTCCAATGTTGTATTCAAAGAGTGTAAAGATGTACCGGTCATAGATTATTTAAGATAGATCTCACATCATCGTCCGTTAAGATTGGAACGTTCAAATCTAGGAACAGCATGTCAAGGTCGCTCGCTTCGTAAAGAAAATTGGGAGGTTTTGGGGGAGAACTGTTGAGGTCAGGTAACATGTTGTTGTTGATGTCCTCTTGGTAGTTGTTGTTGATGTCACTGTTGTTGTTGATGTCACTGTTGTTGTTGTTATCGTCTGTGGTTTCAACGCTGCATTTGGGGTAGTGTCGGGCGGGGCTGTGCGTACTATGCTGTGCTGCAGATAAGGACTCGGTGACGTAAGTGAACAACAGGTCTGTTATATCTAAGACTTGATCTGTTGCTGTAGATTGTGGCTGTAGCGTTGATAAAGACGTGCGCTTAGTCAGCAGCTCAAGCAGCGATATATTGTGGGTGCCTCTAGAACTACCCCCTAGGTTCGTGGGTGTGGTTGCCACAGCAGGTGGCAAGGATGTGAACGGACATACTTCTGTGGGGATCTGTTGGGTTAAATCACAAGCCACAGACGACGGTGACGCCTGTTGTGGATTCATGGGTGAATGGTGACGTTCGTCGTAATCAACTGGCGGAGTATTGGCGGGAGTGTCAAACACTGAGGAAGAGGCAGCTTTCCCTCGCAAATCTTGGTCAAAGTTGCTCATATCTACCTCGTTGGATCCTCGACTGTCGACCTCTATTGGACTTAGCTGCCCAAATGCACTTACGACCAGGTCTCTAGACCTGGAAAGTGTGTTGTGTGTGTCCTTGCACATTCTATCATTGAGAATTTTTAGAGTCAACATGTCTTTTATTGCGGGTTTTGTTGGAGTTTTTCGCGTACACTTTTCAGACACCGCATACTGCGATGACGACAACGGTGAATTTGCTTCCTTTGTCAGAGGATCTACTTTTGCCTTTTTGGGACGACCACATTTTGTACGCCGAGGACTTTCTTCTTCTGTTCTTCGAAGTTTTTCCAGCTTAACAGAGGCTCGCAGTTTGGCTTTGGTCAGTGACAACTCTTGCTTCTCTCGAGCTTTCTGTACTTTTGTTTTTGGCTTGTATTTATACTCCGGGAATTCTACGCTGTGAAAGCGTCTCAGTTTCATTTTCTCCTGTTCAAAATGTTGTTTGAATGCATCAGTTTTCTGTCGCCAATAATAACCCAATGCCTCGCTTATGAGAGCGTTCTGCATCTTTGGACAGAGCTCGTTGATGAGCCTGCGGGCGCTTTGAGCCCAGATCATGAACGCGTTCATTGGTCGGGGCGGCTTGTCTCGACACGACACCTTCTTGCAATCAGCAACGATGGTGTAGCAACACGGAATATCCTCTGGTCTGACACACTCCCAGCGGTACCGCTGAGGAATGTTCTGGACTATCTGTGCGCATGCTCTGGCCGAATCCGGACACTTCTTATCAAAGTTCAGAATGTCCTCAACGGTGAATTCGGTGCAGTCACTTCTGGCTAATATAAACTCTATCTTCTCCCTCTGATTCAAATGCGACTTAGGAACAACGGCGATTTTCTCGAACTGTTCTTCCACGTATCTTCTTGCATCCGCTTCTGACATTTGGAATTTGCTCGGATTACATTTGTTCTGGCGACTACTGTGAGGGCTGATATCTGCCGCATCGTAAAGTTCGTTTTCATGAATATCGGTTTTGATGTTAGTTCCTATCATTTCTGCGGACATATCCATATCTTCAATGTCAATATCTCGATTATCTACCTCCCCGGCCACTGAATAAGACGAGAACGAATCATCGTCTTCCATCTTAATTGATAGGACCCTCTTTCGCTCCGTGGGCCACAAAGTAGTCAGGTCCGAGAACTCCGAGTTCTGCTCCAGGTTCAGCAATCCGTCAGGGGAGATAAGGAACGAAGGCGTCAATGTTTGCGATGCGACTACAGACGAGGTCGCGCTGTCTGTGACGGACGAGCTGCCGTGGAACTTTCCCCAGTCCTCGTTGATGAAACTGGACAGCATAGGGTCGTTACCACTGTTTCCATTCATGGTCGTAATTAATGTTATTGTTCAAACGGGTTCACCGTCACTAAATATTGTGTTGACGGACTAAAGTAACAGCCAGTACTGTGTGTAAAGCGTGTTTCTTGTACCACTTCGTTTATAAGTCAAAAACACGTGAAACTTGCCTAATGCGTTCCTTGCATTGTACAACCAAGGCCAAGTCTCCTGGTAAGTGCCAGATCTACAAAGATGTAGTCCCTGCCTAGCACAGATCCGACTTTTGCGGTGTACACCATTTTAATGTTGAGCAACTCGCGTTTGTGTTCCTCTCTGATTAATAATGCCTCGTGGCTAGACGCCTAGAGACGGAAAAAAGGTACACAACAGGTAATCCAACTGCCTTAAAACCAGGCAAACCACAGAAATTAACTACTGACTTGTAGCTGGCAAATTACGTGAATGTTCAAATTAATTTACCTGTTTGTTTGTCCGAGATTTAAACAGGACCAGCGGTTTTTTCCTATTC